ACAAAATTTACTCCAATCAGCAGGCTTAAGGTACACTTATTGCAGTTCCTTCATTCATTTCATTTTATTCCCACAGACTACGACTAATTTTTATTTTGCTCTTTATCTCGTTGCAAAGGATATAGGCAAAAATAATCTTGTAACCAAGCACGTTTGAACAAATACAAAAGTAAATGTGTGAAATAGCACTTATGTGCACTAAAAAAAGAGTTCTTTTTCTGTTATACTTGCTAAGGTATGTCCTAAGAAAAAGAAGGTGAATCGCCTGTGTATAAGCTTTTATAATAAATTTAAATGGAGGAAAGTGTTATTAAAAGAAAGTACTTTGAGGATGAGTTTGAGCTAATGCTTGCCTGTAGAGCTCTGTAAAGAAAATGTTAACAGAATAGTTTGCTTCTTCAGGCTGTGTTCAGAAGTAAATCACGCCTTTTACATAATGAATTCAAATTTATCTCTTGCCACCCTCAATAAATTTGTACTTTTGTGAGTTTGTGTTTTGCCGGCATATATAACCTCTTCACTTCATTCAGAGAGGCAAAGAAATGGTTTCCAATAGCAATGAAAAATGTCATTCATATTGTCAATTCATTTGGCTCCAAGCAAATTTTATGCAGAGACTTACAGGGACTGACTTTGTTTCTGACTAGGAAGTTCTGATCCCAGTGTCACTGTAGTCAATGTGAGAGCTTCAAACAGAACTTTAACAAAGCCTTCTCACCTCAGTGTGGTGAACAAAATCACATACATTTTTCTCTGATCTTTGGGTCTCAGGGAAAGACCAGAGAATGCTTTCATATGTGAAATGAGGTGAAGCGCCCTTCATCTCTTGTGGCAGACAGCTAGATTCTCCCCAATTTCCCCAGCCCTTTCCACTTTGTCATAGCTTGAAATGGTGAAGCAAGAAAAGGCGGAGGCAAAACTGAATGCTTGAGCTTCACTGGTCATCTGCATATGAGACATGGCCACCCAAAATCCAGACATGGGCCTCTCCTGCACAAGTATTAATTTCCTCAGATTGTAGACAGCAGATAAAACTAAGAAGGATCCGTCATATACTTTGAAAAACTGGGGGACAAAGATGTGGGGCTTATCTCTGCTGAGCTGCTTTGCTTCAGAGAGATGCATAAGAGGGGATGAGAGAATCTTGGCAGCATTATCAACTTAATGTCTATCAGCAGTGTTGGTTTAAGCAGTGAAAGTTGTTTTAAGAAAAGTTGCTTTAAACCTACTTTCTATTACAGTGGTGGGAAAAAAAAGCAACAATGAAGTCAGCTGAGAGAATTAGATCAACTTGGAAACAACAAATAAAATGGTCTCTGGCACACCCTATGTGCTATAGCAACCTCTAAAGTAAAAGAAACTTGCTTCAGGCTTTAAGGGATAGGTTGCAGCACAAGGGATTTCCAACCATATTTTCCCCCTTGGCCTGCTCACTCCTGCTCCCTGACCCACATGTTAAGGCATCTGTTCATTGAGCCACAACATAAGTTGGATTCTATAAATGATGTGGCTTTTCAAAAGAAGTGTCCTGATGATGAGTGGAGGAGATTTACCTCAAAGCCAGATTGGTTCAGAGTAGAACTCCACAAATCATTAAAAGCAAGGAAGAGTTGGAAACTGAGTTGATACAATTGACGTTTCTGAGTCATATCATTCCTGATAGAGCTAAGCATCAGGAGTTACAATCTGGAACTGTCTAAGACTTGTGAAGATTTCTGACTGGCTTATGTAAAATACACTGTTATATTTACACATGTAAGTGGAAATGACTGTTGTTTTATGACAAATATCCATCATTTGTTACTCATATTTCTTGTTAATTAGATTGGAGAAATTTCCTACTTAAAATTATTAGTAATCACTGAAAATCATGTTTGCCACCTTCCCATTAGTAGGAAAAAACATTACTGTGAGCGGTTACTTGCAAAACTGGAGGCATCACCTGATTAAACCATAAAGGTAAATTTCAGAGGAGCAAAGCCTACTAGCATCTCTCAAAATAGTTGCATATTTTACATGTGAAAACCTAGAATATTTAACAACATTTTCTGCTCAACCACCCAAAATTTTAATCCAACTATTTAATGTGATTGGTAAGTACAGAAAGAAACATGCAAACAGAAAGATTTTTGTAATAAAATTATTCCCAGCATTTATTACATTGGACCAAAAAGAGACCTATAATTTTATCTGCTGATGGAACTACCAAAGCGATGAAATAACCAAGAATTTTCAGCTTTTTCTTTTTTCCCAATCTAGCTATGAATGCCCTCCCTATCCTAGGAAACCATAGAATCATAGAACTGGTTGAGTTTAAAAGGACCTTTAAACGCCATCCAGTGCAAATCCCTTGCAATGAACAGGGACATCTACAGCTCCATCAGGTGCCCAGAGCCCTATCCAGCCTGAGCTTGCATGTCTCAGGGATGGGGCATCCTTCGCAGAAACCAGAAATCTTATGTTGGAGTAATCTGGCTACAGCACAAAGATTAGCTAAAGATATTGAGTGTAGACTACCAGAATTATTGGAGGTACTGAATTAAATTCCAGTGTAAATGGGAGAGGAAGACCTTAAATAGAAAAAAAAAAAAAAAGTAACAGGAATCTATTTTTTTTGGTTTTGAATTAGTGAATGTGAATGTAGGGCACTAAGTATAGAGGCACTAATCAGGATATTTATAAGTAAACAATTACTTTATTGAAAGGAAATTAATTCAAAACTTAAAGTAATTAATATTATTAATATCTCTTTTGCTTGCTTACTGAATTTCCTTACTTCAGCATAGCAATTTTTGTGTGTGTGTGTGACTTTTTTTTTTTTTTTTTAATAATCTTTCTGTTCCTGGAAGGGACAACATCTGCCATAACATTTAAAAAGTGCCCAGAACATCAGCTTTCAGAGTAGTACCTTCATATGCTTGTATTTGTCTATCTCATTACATACCATCTGTTCTACTGTTACAAAACACCTGTATGATGCTATCTGATTGCAGACTGTACTCACCATCATGACCAGACCATGTAAATAGAGCATAAGATTCCTGTAACCCAAAGTTAGTATTCATTCACCAAAGTCCAGAGTTATACTGCTGTAAATATGGCATGAATTGTATGAGGTCTCAGGTATTAACTGTACCACCTATCTTGTCCACTTAGATGTGGGTAGAAGTAGGCAAATCTTACTGAAGTAAAGTCATTCATCAGCTCTTCTTTACACTCAAGTCATCTTGCCCACAGCAGCCACCTCCAGTTTTGATCCTTGTGTGTCTATTCTCTTCTTTCCAACGCAAAGAACAAGGTTACTTTGCCATGAGATTAACATGCCATATGCTACCATCTGCTCCAAAAGAGTATCCACGGGAAGTGGCAAAAGTGAGTATTTTCACCCTATGCATTCAGATCTTGACAAAAGCTTGACAATTCCCCACTGAATACATAAGCATCCCTGCTCAATAAGCAGAAGAATAAGAATCATTCAAAGTAAAAACTATACAAGTTTTCATAAGTAGCCAGGATATACAATCTCAAACTAATGCAATGCATCACTGGCATCATTTTTTACTGTGATATTATGCATACACATTTGTAGAGGAAAGGCTGCACACCAAACCATGCCAAAGTCATCAGCAGGCAAAGAGTAGTTTCACTACATGATATGACATCAGGTGATTTATACGTTATTATTTAAACTGCTAATATACTCATGCATCCCCAGAGAATAGAAACTGAAGTTATTTACCAATCTTCATTATCATGATGGAATAATGATTACAACAATCTTCATCTAAGTTCTAAATTGCATTTTTTTTAGCACTGCAGAATGAGCTCATTACGTTTCTGTAGGAGTATAACAATTTCTACATCCTTGCATTCAACCAGCGTTCCACCAAAAAGGGCTTTGAATAGTATAAATTCTGCCAGAGAAGCATACTCTGTGTGTGGGAAGGACAATCTGCTTTCTATTGGTTGTAATAAAGCCAGCAGCATCTGCTGCTGTTCAGCAACGCTGTCACCAGTACTCAATCTCTTAATAACGTGGCTTTTTTTTCCCCAGGTCATATTCTGAACCTGTCTGAACAGAGGTGAGACCCTAAAATTCATCACACAAGCTAATTCCAGAAAACATATTACACCGTGATGCCATTAAACAGGGACTAGTGAAACCTTCTCTTTAGGCAGTATGAAATTGTAGTCACTCACAGCAAGATAAAACCACTCAACCACAAGGAATAAAGAATTCATGTTATCTTTTTCATAGCATTTCCTTTTAATCATACTCTTCTAAGTGCTAGGCAAATAAAATTAAGCTCTAGCTGAAATTAATAAAGAGAGAAAAGAAATACAGCGCACAGTTCTGATTTTCTGGACACCTGATGGTGTGTGAAAAAGATGCAAGGAGAATTCTTTTGCTCATTTCTAAGTCCAGGGGCTAGACACAGAGCAAGGAGTGGCTGCAATACTCCATGGAGTAGTATAAAATGGACAGAAACTGATCTCAAGAAGCTGGGACAAATTGTATTCAGATATTAGCCAGAATCACAGTTCTTTTAGTAGTCATGCCTCTGTGGCTCAAGTAGTAATCATTGGTTTAGCTACCGTTTCAAAGGATGATTTAGCTTTCTTCAACACTAGAACCAAGCACTTTCTCATTACCCACTGACATCAATATAGTCAAAATTCCACATAAATATATCGAACAATTGAAGTAAAAATAATTAATTAATTAATTAAGGTTAATTAAAAAAAAGGAAACTCAAGAGTAAGCACACAATTTCTCCTTTAACTCACACAATCCTGTATTTCAAAGTGTTTTCAGTGGTTATCAAAACAGTGCTACTTTAGCTCGGTAGAGAATGTGAAACCAAAGTTAAGTGAAATAAAAGTCTATGCACTTGATAATTGACTGACAAAAAATATCCATCAAATTGTCATCATCTAGCTCTCTGACCACAACAAAGTGGTTCATAGGCATCCTTATATGGGAAGAAATAGCTTCTTACCTTCAGTATGTACAGCAGAAACATAGGTCCAGTTATAGCGCTTGACAATGTCCACCATAGCCCGTGCTTGCTGTGCATCTGATGGTACAACTCTCATAAAATACTTGAACAGAGTTTTGTCGCTTAGGTCCATACTTGTGGCAGAATAAGCAATCTGAGGTATATTGAAAAGCTGCAATAAGTTCTGGACCTGGATAGCAACTGAGCTAGAGCCAGGACCAATGACACCAACAATGGGTTTCTTGGAGTGGAAAGATGATGAAGATCCATCTACACATCGCACCATCCCTTCCTCTTCTTCCGATGAAATAAGAGAGTCCCTTATAAACTCAATGCTTTGCTCCAGAGCCACAGCAGAATGCCAGCAAGAGTCCCTTATTTCACATCCTAGTGTTATATTTGGCAACAGTGTTGGGTCCAAATTAATTCTGTCAAGGGTATGTAGCATTGCCTCCACTCTCTGAATGCCATACTGCTCTCTTACCTCTCCACATTTCCTCTCATGAACTTTGTCAACTGTTGGTTGGTGGTGGACAGAGAACAGAGCTCCAATGATAATATCACCAGGCATGTGTGCAACCACCCTTCTTTCATTGGCCTGTGCAGAAACCGAAAGCCTGAAGTTCCCACAGACATCTTCCTTCAATAATAGGATTGCAAGGAACAGCAAAAGGACCATTTTAGGAAATGGTTTAGGCTGGTAGAGACAACATGATTGAACAAAATTGAGAGTTGGTCAAAAGCAGTTATCAATTCTTTTGGATAAACAGAGTAGAATGCTGGTTAATCAGGAGTTTGCACGTTTTCTCTAAGGTGTCACCATCATCTCCAAGTAGACAGTGGTGCAGAGCTGTAAATGTGATCATAATCCACATAACCTTCAAAAATGAATAAATAAAAGAAATAGATTTAAAATGAGAAATAAATTCAGCTTTGTAATCTTTACTGAAGTTGCTTTGCTGTCAATAAATCTTGTCTCCCCTACACATTTGTTTCTATCATTATTCAAGTTGGAAAGTTTTGTTCTAGTTCAGTGTTTTGCAATCTTAGGCTTGTAATTCTGCTGATATAAATCGGTGTCTTTCTCTTGGATGCTTTTAAAAACTCTTTGGGGAAATGTATTCAAAACTGCAAAATACAGACAAGTATCAATTTCCAAAAAAAGGTATTGCCACTTCTAATACATCTTTGAAAACAACACTCTTTACTTACATGTGTTTCCCATATCACAAATGTCTCTGTCACACTAATGCACCTCATTCAACACTGTGTTATCAAGTACAGCACGAGCAAAATTTTTTATAAAGTCATTCCTGAAATATGATCAGAAATGCAGAATCTGGCTTTTCCAGTCTGGAAATGATTCTTCCTTGTAAGCCACAACATGAAACAAATGATCTTTAAAGTAAGCTAAGATTAAGAAAGTTGATCTATTTAATAACATTTGTTTTTATTTTAAGCATGAACATTTCAGCAGAAGAATAACAGACTCAATTCAATTCTAAAGCAGCGGAGTGAAATCATTTAATATACTTAAAACAAAAATCACTAAGAAGAAATTCAACAAATCTCTTTAGGGAACTATATAGACTTCACTAGAAAGCAGAAAGCACAGGTACTATATAGGTGCACTGATGCCTAAAATATTTGATCTGCTACATTTTCTGACAGTCTGCAATGCGATCATCACTCAGTTTTACCGGTGGCAAAGGAATAAAGAAAGAAAGAAAGAAAGAAAGAAAGAAAGAAAGAAAGAAAGAAAGAAAGAAAAAGAAAGAAAGAAAGAAAGAAAGAAAAAGAAAGAAAGAAAGAAAAAGAAAGAAAGAAAGAAAGAAAAAGAAAGAAAGAAAGAAAAAGAAAGAAAGAAAGAAAGAAAGAAAGAAAGAAAGAATAAGGATCAGAAAAGATTAATCTTTTAGGCTGTGAACAATGAACTTGAGAACATACTTGAAAACGTTCTGTACCCAGCAGTGCAATAGTCTGCTCCTGGTTTAGTGCTTAAACTGTAGTTTTGTCCAGCCCTATACTTGCTAGTGGATCCACTGATAGCAAAGAAAGTTAAACACACTCTTGCATCAAGGAAGATGCTGAGCTAGTTAGTGAACCACATGCCCAGTCTCATTATTAGCTAAACAAAAGCAAAACTGTAGGACATAGCCTAATCTCAGTTTTACTTACATAAATCTTTTTATAAAATAGTAACATTTATATAATAAATGTACATAACAAAAAAAAGAATATAGGAATTTCCATACATTTAAGATCCAGCAGTAATTTCTAATCCATTGATACGACTCTGACAGTACTCAGATGTTGCAAAATGAAAGAAACCCTTTGCAATGGAGAGCCTACCTCTGCTTCTTCCAGTGTCAAAATTCAGCAGGAGTAAAATCCTGGATTTACCACTCATCACCAGAGCATTCAATACACAGTGTCACAATGAACACCTTCCTGATTCCAGCCAAATTTAAAAACATTTTTCTGCTTTCGGTTAGCCTTGTTTAATTATTATTGTACCTAGACATCTGTAAATCATAAAGTATTTACACAGAGGCAATCCTGCAATTGTGTCAGTGAGTATTCCCAAATTAAATCCAAATCTTTAAAAAGATAAAACGTTGAATAGAAATACTCTTGTAATATGAATTGCAATATTAATAGGTTCATGTAATATTAATTTCTAGTAATAGAAAGTGATAATAATGAAATAGGATTCAGACAACTGTAGAATATTTCAATACTTTTTTTTTTTTTTTTTTTTCCTGAAGAATTGGCTTATCAATACTGCAATCCCTTGCTACTACGGAAGAACAGCAGATCAGTTCAGGTTAATTAGTCTCTAATTACAGAATATCACTACTGCTTATGTGTTCCAGTTGTTTGTTCTGTGACACTGAAGATGATACCGTCTAATTTGTAAACAGCCTGAAGGATGAATGACAGGGCATATCTTAGTACAGTATCACAACGATTACATTCCTATACCTCAACGTAACATTTCAGCACTTGAAAAAACCTTTTAATTATTTTTAATGTCTTAGCATTTAAACAGAAATAGTAATCTGCTATTCAAAAGCACAGATGCTTATTATTCTACGTACTAAGTCTACATGCACAGAGCCTGTCTACATCTAGACCAAATGCCAGCCCTGCCTCAGAGTGTTACAGCATATACAATTACAGGTCTTTTATAACCTAGTTGCTTATGCAGCTGCATACACACAAATAGAGTCTGGGGGTTTGGAATGAGCTTGTGATACAAGAAGTATCTAATCTTAACTCACAATTTTAATTCTACAATATCTATTGCCAAGACTTCTGGCCAGGTTTACTGACACTGTCCACAGCCTTAAGTCTGTAAATTAAACAATTTCCATACAGGATATATGGGAAATAGAAGGCAGCAGGGACATCTTTATCTTCTTCACTCTGAAGAGCAGCTGTTTGTTCTTCTCTGTCTACAGTTTTATTTATCTATATTGCTTGCAAGGTAAAGAATGAAGTAAAGCTGATGGTCTCCTTTATACTTCTAGTTCAACAGTAATAGCAGATAATCACAACTAAGGGCTCCCAGGGCCCAATAGCAAGTTATCAAACCAATCAAATCCTTCCACACCATGGTATCCAAGGGGAAGAAGGAGCCAGATGCCAGGTGAAATTGCTCCAGAATTAATGATCGGACTTCACATGTTCTGCTATACTACAGTGGAAATCAATTCACCTGGGACTTTCAATTTGTTACTAATTGCTCCAAAAAACCTGCTTCATTTACGTAGTATTAGATTTAGGACTGCAAAGCACCTGATATTAATGCCTTCTGTGGGCTTCCACAACGCAGCAAAAACAACTTGGAATTTATATTGACATGGGCAAGTGAATCTGCTAAATACTACAGATTTGCATTTGTACAATAGAGATCTGTTTCTGTGGGCTTGTTCTTGCTCTCACAGTCCTAAAAATCACAGGCTGAAGTCAAAGGAAACCTCTGGAGGTTTTCTGATCCGTCTACCCTAACCAAAGCAAGTTCAGCTAAAGCAGGTTCTTAGGGTCACATCCAGTGAGATTTCAACTACCTCCATGGATGGAGGCTCTACAATCTTTCTATGCAGCTAATGTTTGACCACACTAACAGCAAGAAGGTTCTTTTCTTATGTTTAAATGGAAGTTCTTACATTTCAGATCATGTCCATTGCCTATCACCCTTCCACTGGATATGACTGGATATGCCATTCAAAGATGCCTTGAGGGTAGTTAGGCAGCAGATCACATTCTAGGCTAAAAGACGGCTGAGCAGAGAGCTGATAGACTAAGCACACTAATTACATTTCCTGGAGAAATCCTCCATTCCTCCCTGAAAAGATGGCCAAGGGAACTGTTCAAATATACAGTTTTACTGCTATCATATCCCCAAAGAATCTTATACAAGTTATTTTGATTTTTATTCTTTCCTCATACTGGAAGCTTATTATTTTAAGCAATATGATTACTACAATAAAATTAAGCAAAATGTTATGAGCTTAAATATAATTCCTGTGTTATTAGGGGCAACCCTAAAGGGAATTTCACATTGAGAAAATTGAGAACAGAGGTATCAATAGCATCATAGACAGTAAACCTTTGAACACATATAAAAAGTAGTAGAAATCATTTCCCAATTAATAATTTATCTGCATTTACTTGTTTTTGTTGGTGGACAAGCAAATCAATATGCACAGCACTTAGGGTCAAATTTACTCTTCACACTTCAATTTCTTTAGCTTCAAGAGAGTTACTATTAATTTACTGCAACATAGACAAAATGAAATCAGGCACTTAATTACTGGTGTATCAAAGTTCTTAGCTTATTCCAGCTATGGATCTAACTATAAATTAATTCTGAAGTCCCCTGCAATAACAACAGATGACAGGCATTCAGGTTTCTGTCCCTTCGCTGCACTCAGAACAATTGCAGAAGTAATAAGGTGAAAAGATGATTCTGCCTATCTGTTCTTCGTTCAGCCTTGCTCTAGTCAAACTTTTATGGGCTACCAGGTGAAGACACGATGAAGCACTCAACAATTTCCTGTAACCTTTGCTCTCTCCGACAGTAAAAACTTTATGCCAGTCTCTGCTAGGAGAAATTCTCAGCTGTTTCTTTAGGGCAGAGTTCCAAGTACTTCATGTCGAGGTTTAACCGAGTAGAAAATGAGCATCTGTAATATTCCATGAAACATCACACAACTCTTGAAATGATTTATTTTAACCTGAAATGCAAGTTCATCTATAATTACTGTCTGTGCAGACCAAAACAAAGAGCCCTCATATCTAACTGAATTAATTAGATCACAAATCCCACAGCAGTTCATAGAGGGATGATTTTGCACTGTGTATGTGGCTGAGAGTTTATACATGGAGGACATCTGACTTTTCTTCTACCACAGCAGGTGTTAACTGTTGAAATCCATAGAGAGCCTCTCACCCTGTGACTTACATTATTATGACAGCGCCCACTAGCGACTCCAGAATGAAGGAGTCATTTCCATAATCTGAATTCTTCTGGCTGTGTAGCTTCTATAGGTAAGATACAAAATCAGCAAAGGGAATCTATTTTGTATCAGGAAAAATAATAATAATAATAATAAAAAAAAATTAAATATAAATACCTTTGTTCTTTTATTTTATTTATTTTTAACTGATTAGAGCTCTGTAGCCTTACAGCTCCTTAATTCATCTTTTCTAAGTCTACTGGCAGATTAAAATAATAAAAATAAAATGCCAGATTACTGAACCACAGTGCTTCGGTGTAGTGAGAACTCAGGGTCCAATGGGGGAAAGCACTTAGAAACATACTCAGTGCTAAATACACAAAGAATGCTGTTGGTCAATCATCTAT